CCCTCGCTCCCGCCAGCCCTGACCCCTGTCCCGACCCCTGCTCCAGCCCGGCCCTGACCCCTCGCTCCCGCCAGCCCTGACCCCTGTCCCGACCCCTGCTCCCGCCGGCCCTGACCCCTGCTCCCGCCAGCCTTGGCTGACATCCTGCTTCCTCCAGTTCCTCCTCTGGACCAGGCTGGCTGATTCTGGCCAATCAGAACCTCCCCTTCACTCCAGCGCCAGTATCCCCCTCTGCACAGCCTAGGCCTGGCCGCTCTCACCCACCCAAAGCTAGTCCCGCAGCACATGTCCCAACAGACTTCAGTGCAACGACTTTCTGCTACTTGCCACCCAGCCCAGACTGGAGCTGGGACCCAAAGGTGAAAGGCTCCATATCCCATGACTCATTCCCTGATCCATCCTGCTCCAATTCTGACTGCGCCCAGTAACTGTTCCTCCAGCATCACTACCCACCCAGCCCTAGGAAATGTGCGAGTGAAAGTGAATAAGGAAAAGTTATTTACTTGTTCCCATAATATAAAAACTAGGGGCCACCAAATGAAATTAATGGGCAGCAGGTTTAAAACAAATAAAAGGAAGTTCTTCTTCACACAACGCACAGTCAACCTGCGGAACTCCTTGCCTGAAGAGGTTGTGAAGGCTAGGACTATAACAGGGTTTAAAAGAGAACTGGATACATTCACGGAGGTTAAGTCCATTAATGGCTATTAGCCAGGATGGGTTAGGAATGGTGTCCCTAGCTATCGTTTGTCAGAGAGTGGAGATGGATGGCAGGAGAGAGATCTTATGTCCTTATGTGTTTGAAGCCTGTTTGCTTGTCTCTGCGGGCAAGGGAGATTTACACATCCAGGCGAATGACATTTTCTTGCTGTCTGTGGTAGGAAGTATTGTTAAGTGTATGATTCCATGCTGGAGAGAGTGCAGGACTGAGCCTGCCGGTATTCCCCCCCCCCAAAAAAAAAACAGCTGTGTGTTATGCTAGCAGCATCAAGCCTGCTGGGAGAGGATTAAGTTGGTTCTGCTGACTACGGGAGGTGGGAGTGATTTCGTAGAGCGCTTAGGGCATCCTGTCGAAAGAACCCTGGGAAATGGCTGATGTTTGTTCTCCTCTTGTTAATAGAGTGAAGAGAAAAGGAAGTTGCTGGTGGTGGTACAGAATAAAATTATTCCTAAGAACATTCCCCCTAGCTGGAGGAGGCAGTGCCTTTCCAGTTGTGTTCCTCTAACCTTCAAAGGAAGAGGGGTGTGGGGGGAGGAGGTTGGGGGGGTGCATATAAAGGAGACAATCCAGCTTCAGCTTTGCCATCTCCTCTTGCATGGGAGGAAGCTCTCCTCCTTCCCGTGGAATCTGTCCCATGGGCAGCCTTCATTTTTGTTGATGGCTTCCCCGTTGATGAGGTACAGCTGCTGCTTGCACCCTTCCACTGCCTATCAGTCCCTCTCTCCAGCCCTGGCTGCTCGGCCACTCCCAAGGATGGGCTTTGTCATCGCTCCGCCAAGGATAAGTCACATCCAACCCACATGTACCTCCCACTCATAGGATTGCTGGGGGCACTTCCCTCTCCTGCCCCTTGAGAAATCAGCAGTAAGGTGATCCTTCCTCCAGCTCTATTAGACATGGAAGGAGAAGGGCAGGGGGCCCAGGTGCCATCTAGTCACTCCAGGTTTTTGCATCCTCCTTTGCTTAGAGAGGAGCATGATCTCTATGCAGTGATAACACCCTAGAGTTCCACTGGCCAAACATCCTTAATCAGTGACAGACTGGTTGTCTCAGAGGATGAGTTTAGGGTTCCTGGGACAGCCTGACATCCCCAGCCCCACCTCGGTGGCATCGTCTGGCTGTACTGTACGCAAGCCAGGCCTTGCAGAACTGGTCAGATACACATCCCAGCTTGGAAGCTAGCCTCACATGCTCCAGCAAACTTTACCAATACACTGGAGCACAAGTCAACATCCCCTCCCATGAAGCTCTGGCTGGTCAATCTTCTGTGAGCTGGGGGCTGATTGGTCTCTCTTCTTACTCACCTCTTTCTTCAGACCGTGAAGACCAAGCAGCCTGTTCTTATCACAATGCAAACACACACAGAGGTCCCCAGTTAAATAACCTGCTGATCAATGGACAAAGGGTGGGATTGGCAGTGAAGGAATTAGAGGAACAGGAGCAAAACCTCACCCAAAAACACTGAGAAACTATTATTGTTCCTTGAGAAGAATGGTTTGGTAATTCCGTATGTACAGTTTACTTATGTCACTGCTATTTATTATCTTCACGGAAGGCTTCTTAGGTCAAGAACAGCGGGTTGTCCAGGGTCCTGATTCCCCCGGGTCCTGATTCCCCCCTGCCTTTCACCTGGAATATGTCACTTAACTGCTTTCAAATCAGAATGCTAGTTACACCCATTTTGCCCAGCTGTAAGGGTCTAACCCATGTGCAAGGCCGGAGCAAAGCCGACCCCCACCCCCTTGTGTATTGAAGATTAAACATTAAAATCCCAACCACTGGCTAGCCCTGGATTAAAGTAAAGACACGTCCCAGGTACACGTTTGCTTCAACCATTTTCCAAAACCAGCTTGTTCAGGGGAGCGAAGAACAAAAATAAAGATTTCACATTTGGCAGGAAGGGAGAAGTTCCGTTCCTAAGTGTCGCAGGGCAGCCGTCGCAGGGCATAGCTCTATAGAAGGTAGTAGAGTGGAAATGCCACAGACATGCACAGAGGCAGCCTGGACTGTGGCCAGTCATCCATTAGGGGAGCCCAGAACACGGTGAACTCTCACAGCTGATTGGACTAACCCGGGGCTTAAAAGCAAAGTTTTGTTGTGGCCGAGCACAGAAGATCAGCGTTAGTTCCAGGCTGGTAGGGCCGGAGGAAAGCCGGTGACCACCCATTTTCCTGCGTCTCTGTGAAAGTGACGCATAGCAAGTTCTGTTACCCGCTACAAATGCTCCAGGAGCTGAGGTAGCAACTTCCTGCACAGCCGGCTCAGGTGCACACAGCCTGGGAAGGCAAAGGAGGCCAGAGAACAGAGGCAAAGGGGTCTCCCCAAGAGCAGCCCGGTGGTGACTCTAAGCTGGGAAAGGCAAGGGCTGAGGGGAGTGCCCATCACAGGGGACCCTGTCTCCATTCTGCGGGGAGCCTGCAAGCTGCTGGGCGGAGGCAGCTGGATTTGCTCTGCTCTTTGTGCCCAATTGGTTGTTTCTATAAAATTAGATACAAGCTAAGGTTAGAGGAAAAACAAGCCCATGTCAGCTGGGCCAGCACCTGGGCTGGCTCCAACCCTGGGTGTTTCACTAAGCCCGGCCTGGGGTGGAGGAGTGGGATCCTCTCTGCACCAGCCACTCACGGGTGCCCTTTAATCAACTCTTTGCAGTTACTCAAATGCATCAGGGCAGAGCAGGGAGGGAGACCCATGCTGGGCTGTGGGAGAAGCAGCTGGGGCCCAGAGAGGGGGCAAATCCGCTCTCCCCTTTGGTCTCAAACTTCTCAAGGACAGAGGCATGGCACCCAGAGTGCACCCTCTTGGCTAAGTCATGTGACTTCGGAGGCAGGACATGACAGGCATCACATGCCACCTTAAGGGAAAGGCCATGCTAGCGCATCTCCTGCCCAGGACAAGCTGGGCTGTGTGACCCAGCTGCTGCCCCCTCCCTACCCCCATTCTCACCTCCACCCATTACCAGCAGCCAGATCTGCCTCCTGTGACCCACCAAAAAGCCTGGGAGAAGCAGTTTGCATAGGACATACACTTAGCACCAGGGCCCCCTCTGCCTCGCTCTCCCGCCCTGGATGCTGAAGCTAGTTTGGCAGTGCCCCTGTGGAGATGATTTGGGGAGGGCTTCCCCATGGCACAGCTCACCCCGCAATCCAACTATTTGGCCCCTACACAATCCATGCTCCCCTTCTCCAAAATCAACCCCTCCCGCACCCAATCACTCATTCCCCACCCCAGCCTCCTCCCACATCCAGCCTCTTTCCCTCCCCTAAATCAAACCCCTCCAAAGGTGTCTCATCTCCAAATCAGGCCCTCCAACAAAAGCCAAGTTAGTCTCTCCCTGGCCCTCCCCACCAACCTGCTAGGAGCTGGGTCAGATTCAGGGATGGAGGAGGCAGCTGCTGCTGCTGCCACACAGCCAAACCCGGCCTTACGGCTGGAGGTGGAGGGGAGGGGGGGGGTGCGCTGGGAGGCAAGGAGCTGATGTACTCTGCTTGCCCCTAGGTTGCGGAGCCTCGTGCCAGGCAAGCCAGAGCACATCAGTTGGACAGGAAAAGAGAAAGCCGGAGCCTGAGGCTAAGAGTCACAGTAGGCAGGTCTCCCTTGCACCCCACAGCTGGTGCTGGAGGGGAGACACACACTCCAGGGAGGGGAATACACCTAGTCAGAGCATGGACCCGCTTCATTCAAGACCCTCTCCAGTGAGCTAGGACCACAGCACCCTCTGCTGGACTAAGGGGTAATGCAGTGACCCCGTTCTGCAGACTCAGCCCGAACGGCTTGTTTTGCTGTGAACCCTCTCCAAGTGATGGGGGCCCATGCAATCCCATAGCAAGACGGGAGAATTCCTGCTCTCCGGGCGCAGTCCGGGGCAGCACAGCGAGCCGAGCCGCAGCAAAGGAACGACGCCCACAGAAACATTCTAAGATGTCCTTTTATTAAAATGTGCGTCACTGTTTTGTGTGGCGGCGTCCTTTGCGGTGCTCCAGCTGTCAGGGTGTTTCGGGTGACCAGCTCGGCGGTCTCAGCGCTCGAGCCCAACTCGGGGGAACCGTTAGGTGGTCCGTGGCCTCCTGTTCCCGCCCATGGCAATGTAAACGTCAATAGGAACGTTGGGCAGGGTCAGGCAGTGGCACCCGGGGCATCTTCTCAGCTGCCTGCACAACGAGAGAGAGGGGTTAGTCCAGTTGCCCAGGAGGGTTGTGCAAAGCCACAGATTGAGCCCCTCAGCGTCACAGGTGCATGGTCCAATAGTGGCTTATTCACTACCATGAGGGGTGCAGATCCCCAGAGCCCTCGGCCAGCTGCCCAGGGATCAGAACCCATCTGGCTAGTTGAACATACCCCACAAAGGGTTCTTCAGAGCTCTTGTCCTCCTCCGACTTTATGCAGGGAGGGAAGATTTAGGGGGATACATTTCCCCCCCACACCATATCCAGCTTCTCTGTCAGCTGCTAGCAGCCTGGAGCTGGAATTGATGGCCACTCTGGAATTTTCTGCCTTAGGAATCTTCTGGCAAAAAAAGGACAACCCTCCCACCCCGTCCCAAATGCTCCCCTTAACAAGGGCCCTCAATGCAGAAGTCAGCCCTAGATGGGATGCAGGTCCTGCACAGAGACCATGTGCCTGAAGAGATAATGACCAAGGGGTCGCAGCCAAGCCCTGATGGTTGGCAATAAGTGGGAGGAGGCCGGCGCTTGGCAGTAATGAGAGAGTCTCTTCCAGGCAGCGATCTCAGCATGGTGAGGGCCCTCAGTCCAGAAATGCCCAACCTGGGCCATGTCCTCAATGTTCTAAGCTAGTAAGAGGCAAAGTGCACAGCAGAGCCACAGATGTGTTAAGGGTACAGGTGGAACTGCCTGTTTCCATAGAGATGGGGTGCACTTGCTGCAGCCTAGAGAGGCCAGCGTATTGTAGCCCTGATTCCCCCAGAGGCGCCAGTTACGGCAGGGGGTGGGTTTGATTTTGCCCTTGTCTGATCAGCTATGACAAGGGGAGAGGCAGGGCGAGACATTGCATCAGAATGAAGTGCAGCAGCAAGCAAGCAAAACTTGAGGTACAAGGCTTGCACCCATAGGGAGCGCTAGAGGGTACAGCCCTGTTACAGCCCAGGGAGATCTGGCTTGGAGTTAATTACTTGGCCTCAATAGAAGTGTCTGACCCACAGCCTTCGTTCTCTGATGGAGGGGAGGCAGCAAACCGGTTTCCTCATTTTGACTTTCCTTGGGGCCCTGCCTCAGCCCCATTGTACAGGATTCAGCCCACAGTTGCCTAAAGTCGCCCCTGGGGCCAAATCAGATGCCAACAAACTCTTCCAACCAACAGGCTCCCAGTCCGGCTGCATGTTCCAAGCCAGGCCGTGCGACAGCCCCAGCTTCTGGTGCCGCCCGGAATGGTTTAGCCAGCTGACAGCCATCCTAACCCCACAGGGAGCAGGTGTTGGGGGAGGCAGGTTTCCTTCCCTTTCCCTTGGGCACAGGGTGTGGAACTCGCTGTGACACTGATCTGGGGTGGGATGACTACGGCAGCGGCTTTCATCATCCCCCCAAAGCCTGATTTGTAGAGATCACAGGCAAGGGTGGGCCTGGAGAAAAAGGGGTGCAGTTCCACTGGCTCCTGAATGCAGCCTTGCGAGGCCTCGGCCCTCTGGGCTCATCCCTGGCCCTTTACAGAAGCCCAGCGTGTTCTGAGTGGAATGGGCTGGTGAGCCGGCCCTGGCAGGGACGCAGCGTGGCAAGAAGCAGCGGGGAGACCTGGAGGAGGTGCAGAGATTAGCGAAAGGGGGAGAGAAGGGACCATGGCTCCTATTCACTCTGCCCTGTAAAACAGGCACAAAGGGGGAACTTGGGAAAATTAGAAGGGCAACACTCCTACTTCTAAGCCTTGAAAGCGTCACTTTCCTGGGGGAATTTGCTGCTGTAAGACATGGAAGCAGGGGGGCCAGACCATCCCAAAGGGGGGCCGTTCATAGCAACATCTAAGCACGCCAGCTGCCATTACAGCATCAAGAGGAAGGTTTGGGAAGTGCATCCATTCTCATGCTTCAGGGCCGAACGTGATTGCTAACTGGGGTCAGGAAGTAAGCACCCCACTCCCCTCTGTATGGCTCTGGAGGCTGTATGCCTTCCTCCCAAGCACTGGGCACCAGCTGACTCACAGCAATGACAGCTGCTGCAGCTGCCCTTACCTTGCTGCAGTGTGCTCAGTGGCAACTGGCTCTTGGGTCTCTGGAGCAGCTGCCAGGCTGGGAGAATCTCCTGCCTCTATGGGGAATCTCCGAGCTTGTGGGGTCTCCTGGGAGCTCATGTCCTAGCCCCAGACCTGTCTGAGTAAAAGAAGGACCAAGGTCAGAACCTGTGTGACTGGGCAGGGTGAGCTCACGATTTCAGGCCCACCCCTGCCCCAAGCTGCCACACCCTTCTCTGGCCTAGGCTCACTTCTTGAAAGCTCAAGAGGGTTCCCAGGAATAAACCTGGCAGCCTGCAGTGCCTAGTGCAAAGGGCAAGATGTGATGGGGGCCAGTGGGAGGCACGGAGGCTGTTACATTGTGACACGGAAGGGCTGCTCTGACATCACAATACAACCCGTGAGTGGCAGGGTACGACCTTCTCCCTTCTGCCGGGCACGAGACTCAGGCCCAGGCCTTCTCGCTTACGATTTATTATTTGGACTGCAGTGGCAGCTAGGAGCCCCAGTCCTGGACCCTGTGCGAGGCGCTGTACAAATACAGAACAAAAAGCTAGGCCCTGCCTCACCGAGCTTGCAATCTAAGTATAAACACGAGACATGACCGATAGGGGAGCACAAGGAAACCATGAGACAACTGGTCAACATGAGGGGCGGCAGCAGCAGCACAAAAGACTGACCTAGTTCACATCTAGGGCTAGTCTTGGGTCAAAGCCCCACCGTGCTGTGAAGGTGAACAGAGGAACTGCCTCTGCTGGCCCCAGGTTTCCCCAAAAGCTCTGGGTCTCATGACGAGGAGGACCCTTCCTTGACTGTGCCCAGATCAGAGATGTATCTGGGGTTGATCTTTGCTCCCTCCTGGAAGCTGATCCCCGTGGGGATACAATGTGGGGTTTAGAGCGGGATCTGGGGTAGCCCCTCACCCTGGACTCTTACCCTGTCCTGGAAACTGAAACTAAACAAATAAAGCCATCCTGCCAATTTGTTTGACCAACCAGGTCCATCTGATCAAACTCAGACTGTGAGCTCTTTGAGACAGGGACTGTCACTTGTTCCATGTCTGTGCAATGCCCAGGACAAAGGATCCCTAGAGAAAGGAAGCAGTGTTGCCTATGGGCTGGAGCACTGGACTGTGTCTCAGAAGGCCTGAGTTAAATTCTTGGCTCTGCCACTGGGTGACCTTGGACAAGTCACTTGCCTCTTTCTGCCTCAGTTTCCCCATCTGTAAAATGAGGTTAATTGTACTGACCTTTGTAAAGTGCTTTGAGATCTATGGCTGAAAGCTGCTAGATGAGAGCTAGGTAGTTTTGTTAAGCACTATGTAATACAAACAACAGACATCCCAGCCCTTGTATTCATTTGAGGGCTGGTCTGGATCCTTCCCCCCCCCCCCCAAATTCACTTGGATCCAGCCTTGAAAACTTGGTCAGATCTGCACAGTTAGTGATCATACTGCAGCAGGCTGGGGAATATTTGGGGTCTGTTCGTTATGCCAAAGCCTGTGTAGCGCTCGGCTATAGAAGCCCCTTACCCACAATCCCCACCAATAGGTCTCTGGAGATTTATCCCATCGCTGTGCCTGGAGTGACTCAGTGCAGGGTTGTGGGCAGGTTAAGTAACTGCCCATTTGGGGTGCTCGCCCCCTGATTGGTGCAAATCCAACCCCTTTGACCCATGCAACACAAGGTTACATCATAATAGGGGCTGAAAGTTTTAAAATGTCCCGCCCCAGCTGCCCCCGTCATCACGGGACTTTGTCTAGGCAAGAAAATGATCTAGCGTCCAGGGCTGCAACTCTTGCAGGCCCTGGTTAGGGAGAGAAGCAGAGCACAGAGATGTCATCTCCCAGCATCTACAGGATGACCTGAGAGAATGACCAGTCCAAAATTCAGAGAGGAGATGGAGGAGTTTTTATTCTCCAATGGCTACCAGCTGGGCAAGACCATTGGGGAGGGGACGTACTCAAAAGTGAAAGAGGCCTTCTCAAAAAAGCACCAGCAGAAAGTGGCAGTTAAAATTATTGATAAGATGGGGGGCCCGGAAGGTAAGAGGCAGCTCTGGGAGACGGTTCTGGGTTAGATGGTTGAGGAATATTTATAGACTCTAAGGCCACAAGGGACCACTCTGATCATCCAGTCATGGGGGGATAATCTGCTGAACATGAGCTCCCAGTGTGATGCTGTGGCCGAAAGAGCTGATGTGATCCTGGGATGCATAAACAGGGGACTCTCGAGTAAAAGTAGGGAAGTTATTTTACCTTTGTATTTGGCACTAGTGTAACCGTGGCTGGAATGCTGTGTCCAGGTCTGATGCCCACAATTCCAGAAGGATGTTGATAAATTGGAGAGGGTTCAGAGAACAGCCATGAGAATGATTAAATCATTAGAAAACCTGCCTAGTGATAGACTAAGAGCACAATCCAGTTAGTTTAACAAAAAGAAGGTTAAGAGGTGACTTGATCACAGTCTATAAGTACCTATATGGGGAGCAAATATTTAATAATAATGGGCTCCTTCAGTCTATCCGAGAAAGGTCTAACATGATCCAACGGCTGGAAGTTGAAGCTAGACAAATTTAGACTGGAAATAAGGCATACATTTTTAACAGAGAGAGTAATGAACCGTTGGCACAATTTACCCAGGGTCACGGTGGATTCTCCATCACTGACAATTTTTAAATCAAGATTGGATGTTTTCTGAAAGCTCTGCTCTAGGAATTATTTTGGGGAAGTTCTCTGGCCTGTACCATACAGGAAGTCAGACTAGATGATCACAATGGTCCCTTCTGGCCTTAGAATCTATGACCTTCTCTGTAACAGGCTAGAGAACTTCCCCAAAATAATTCCGGTTTGAACTAGTCGTCTTGTAGTTTGCCAGGCATCAAGGTATTGGCGCACTTAACTGTGCATACTACCAAATATCTCCACTGCTTTACTTAGGGCCTACTTTTTCCCTTATGCAGAAAAACCCTCTGGAGGGGAAAACTTACCTGAGAAGTACTATGAGAATCTTCTCACATCGTCTTCTACATTATCTCATCAGGGGAGGATCGGTGACTTGCCACAAACTTTTCATTCCTAACAAAACACATTTCAGGTTTCCCTACTGGATGCATTAAACTAAAATAAAAGGTTGAGTAGGAGGTGGGTTCCTAGGGGAGGCTGGTCTCTCCAGAACTACTCCAAGGCAGGGGACTTTCCCTCTTGCCTCATTCACTTGGAGGGTCAGCTGCCAGCGTTTCACAGACTACCCACTCTTCATCTTCCCCACCAACTGGTGGGTGGTGCAGTAGCTTACTGGATGCAAAGGGGGCCAGATTCACTGATTTCCTTGTAGAACACGTGTACAAGAATTCAACCCAGACCCTCCTCTAGCCAGCTCACCAGGCTTGTAGGTTGGGGTAACCGCAGTGCCTTTCAGATCACCTCCTATAGCACATAATGGTATTTACTTGGCCAGATCTGTGTCCTAGACTAAAGCCACAATCAGATAAAAGATTCTAACAACTACACCTCCTCGCAAAGCAGAGTAAAACCATGAAAACAGGGTTTTCCCTGTGGAAAGCAGAAAGCTGCTAAAGGGGCATAAGTTCTACAGGTTTGTTGTTGTCGTCGTTCGTTAATCAATTGAAAGATCTGCTCTACTTCAGCTACAAAAGATGAGGCTGGATGCAGGAATCGGATGTGAAATCAATATGCAGGAGGTTGGTCGAGAGGATCAGAATTATGGCTTCTAGCCCTAAGATCTGTGAAGCCAACTGAAAGTAAATATGTTACAGTGCTGACCCTGTGATCACTTTACAACCAGCCACGTTCCCAGGGTTATGAATGGGAAAGCGCCTCCTTTTAGCCCCAGTTTGTGACAAACAGGGCCCCTGCCCCCCTTTACAAGGCAGCCTCCACTGAATGGCCAAAAGCCCCAGGCACTGCAGAGATACTGCATCCACGAAAGACGATACACACTCTTCTTGGTAGCCAGCAGCTCCCTTGAGATTTCCCATGCCTTGAATGAATCTGTCTTCTCTCTCTTCAGAATTTATCCAGAGATTCCTGCCTCGAGAGCTCCAGATCGTCAGGCGCTTGGATCACAAGAACATCATCCGAGTGTACGAGATGCTGGAATCCGCCGATGGGAAGATCTACTTGGTGATGGAGCTGGCAGAAGACGGGGATGTTTTTGACTGCGTTCTGCACGGAGGTCCTTTGCCCGAGAGCCGCGCCAAGGTGCTCTTCCGCCAGCTGGTAGATGCGATCCGCTACTGCCACAGTTGTGGCGTGGCGCACCGGGACCTAAAGTGTGAGAACGCCTTGCTGCAAGGCTTTAACTTGAAGCTGACTGACTTTGGATTCGCAAAGTTGCTCCCAAAGAATCGTAAGGAGCTGAGTCAAACGTTCTGCGGCAGCACTGCCTACGCTGCACCTGAGGTGCTCCAGGGCGTGCCCCACGACAGCCGGAAAGGGGACATCTGGAGCATGGGCGTTATTCTGTACGTTATGCTGTGCGCTAGCCTCCCCTTTGACGACACCGACATCCCCAAGATGCTGTGCCACCAGCAGAAAGGGGTCTCGATTCCTGGGCACCTGGAGATCTCAGACGAATGCCAGGATCTCCTGAAAAGCCTCTTGGAACCAGACATGATCCTGAGACCTTCCATTGAAGAAGTTGGTTGGCACCCATGGCTGGCAAATTCCTGATAAAGACCATGTCACGCTCTCCCCAAATAAAGGGGACAGATTGCTTCCAAAATGCTTACAAATATTTTAATGTTATGCTTGGTTTCCAGTCTATCCTTACACCCCCCTCTCCTCCTCCCAGTGCCTTATGCAGAGGATGGCGGGCCTGCAGGGAAGGACTGGGGGGGTGTTCCATTTCACACCTTCATCAGGGATTTTACTCATTCGAACAAACTGCATGGTCTGAAGAAACCTAACAGTGTTTGTGCTGTTTCCTTTGTAGCTGGGCACCTCGCTGAAGTGGGGAAACCTGGGATAGTGTCTGGCCACCTTCCCAAGACATCTCTAGTGATGGCACCTCCAGAGAACACCCCAACTGAGAGGAGAGAGTAAGCAGAGAAGTTGGCTCCTCCATGTTGAGGGTAGGGGAAACATGGAAAATTACAATAGGGTTATAGGAGTAACAAGGGGAAATCAGTGGGGAAAAAAGTCTGCTCAACATCTTAGTCGTCTATATACAAATGAAAGGAGTAAGGGGAATCAACAGGAGGAACTGGAAGCTAAATTATCTTAACTGCCATCACAGAGACTTGGTGGGAAAAGTGTCATGATTGGAATAACAGTATAGGGCTGGCAGGATAAAAGCAGTATTGCATTATATATCAATATATACACACTTGTTCTGAGGTCCAGAAGGAGGCGAGAGGCAGACCAGTTGTGAGTCTCAGGATAAAGATAGAAGGGGTAAACAACAGGAATGTCACGGTAGGGGTCTACTACAGACCACCAAATCAGGAGGAGGGGGTGGATAAGTCATTTATAGAACAAATCACAGAAATATCCAAAACATAAGACCTGGTAGTAACAGGAAACTAACTACCCAGACATCTGTTGGAAAAGTAACATGGCAAAACACAAAATTCCCAGTAAGTTCTTGGATGTGTTGGGCAGACCACACACTTTCAGAAAGTGGCGGAAGTAACCAATGGGAGAGGCAATACTTGATTCTGACCGACAGGGAAGACTTGGTAGCAAATTTGAAGGTGGAAGGCAGTGTGGGTGAAAGGGGCTATGAAACAATAGATTTAATGGTTTTGTGGAAAGGAAGGAGTGAGATCAGCAAAATAAGGACAGCGGACTTCAGAAAAGCAGACTTTAACAAACTCGGAGAACTAGTAGGTAAGGTCCCATGGGAAGAAAATCTAAGGGAAAAAGGAGTTCAGGGGAGCTGGCAGTTTCTCAAGGAGACAATATTAAAGGCACAACTGCAACCTATCTCGATGCGAAGGAAAGATAGGAAGAATACTAAGAGGCCAATATGGCTCCCAAAGGAGCTCTTTAATGACTTGAAAATCAAAAAGGAATCCTACCGAAATTGGAAACATGGACAAATTGCTAAGGAGGAGTCCAAAACAATAGCACAAGCATGTAGGGACAAATTCAGAACAGCAAAGGCACAAAATGAGTTACATCAAGCAAGGGACATAACAGGCAATGAGAAAAGAGGTTCTTTAAATACATTGGGAGCAAGAGAAAGACAAAGGAAAGTGTAGGTCATCTACTAACAATTAAAAACAACCTTGACAAATTGGAAAATTGCTCTGAATGGACTGTCCAGCCTGCCCCCAAACTAGAGTCATGCCCAAAGCAGGGGCTGCCACTGGGCAGCAAACCACACCCAGACTCATTTCAGAAGGATGGCCACACGTGGCCTGTAGGTAGTGGAAATAAAGACAACCCAACGCAGGCAGTTGATTCGGTAGAATTCCTTTAATTTCTGTTAACTGCAAGTCTGTAAAAGGTTCAGGAGAAAGTTGTCGTTACAAAACTAACAGCTGTTAGAATCTCTCTTTTGCCCCAGCTATAAAATGCTCCCAGGAGATGCAGTATAATTTAAAATAGAGAATATTGCACAAATAACCAAGAGGTTAATTAACTAACGAAAAAGAGTTACAAAGAGAAAGGCAAGCTCCGCGCTTGCTCCCAGCTCCAACCTTGGGACATGAGCTTCCAGCTGGGAACCATACCTTTAAATGAGACTGGAGTATATACAAGGGGGTCCTCGCTGGGCGCAGCACGAAGCGCGAACGACATGTTCTCAGATACTTCCAGATAGACACCAGTCTCCTGGCAAAGGGCCCAGCTACACAAGGGTCCAACCGCACTGGGGGACCTAGTTACGACAGGGATGTCTCCTGACTTGGCTCCATCTCAGTAGAGAGGGGACCTACTTGCATTTTTCCTGCGTCCCCAAGATGCACTGTAGCCTAGGACAGAGCTAGGCTGTAGCATGGCTGAGACCCTTTGAATCAATTCTACAATGACAAGCTGGAACCATGTTGTAGGCTGGTCCCTGGACCTGGTGGGCTTTGTGGCATAGACAGCTCAGACAGGGATCTGGATGACACAGCCACCTTCAATGCACCCACATCAGCTGCTGCCGCCACTGGAGAATCTCCCCATGGGAAAATTGACACTCCAAGGCCCCAGAAGTCTAGTGCTGTCTAAAAATATAGGGAAACCCACAGCCCCAGTGAACTGGCCCTTAAA